TTAGAAATTCAAATATTGTGACAAAATTAATTTTGTAGGGTGCCACAAGTTTGTTCAAATTTCCAAAGGGTGCCGCGACTAAAAAAAGGTTGGGAAACACTGCACTAACTGATATACTAGTTATTAACATTTGACTGGCAGTTTATTAAAATATATTTTTGGAATGGAAAATGGAAAGTTCAAGTACTGAAACTTGACCAGAGCACATTTCTGGAAGTCTGGTATAGCCTATCCTTTTATAGAAACACTTACTTCTGTGTGAATCTTGTGTTACCATGAATACACTGAGCTGTAATTTTTTATTTATTAGTACCTACACCTTTGTAAGGGAAACAGGTCAATTTAGCTCAAAGGGAATCATTGCTCGTGATTGTAGTTACTATCACGTGATGGTCATGCGGTCATCTCTTTGACCATTTAATCTTGATTACTTGCCCTAAAATTGACAATCTCCTTGGAATTGTCAATAAGTATTCTTTTGTTTAAATGCTGTGAGCTACTCAAAGCTGCTAGTTGGTTCAGGCTTGTGGGGCCAAGATCTGATTTACGAACATCCTGTGTCTTGGGTCTCTGTGGAATTTGGCTCCTCATGTTTCAACCATGTTTTGACCAAATCTTAGATTGTCTGATTCGGTCTGATACCCTACACATTCTAACATTAAAAGCCTTTACATTTTTTTTTTTTCCATTTTAACTTCAAACCGGTTTCAGCTGAACATAAATACAGTATGATCCAACATTTGAAGTGGATCAAAGAACGGTTATTGTTTTGGTTTTAGGACAACTTTGATGAAAGGTTTTGATCCACTTCAAATGCTGACTACTGTAGGCCAAACAGTGACAAAATTAAGGCTTGAGTAAACCAGCCCTTTTTAATAGAAATACCAGGACAATTCAAAAACAAGCATAAACAAAAATACCACTGACACAAAACAAAAACAGTGTAACAAACCAGAGGAAATGAAACGAGTGAACTTCAGTGTAATAAGAAATGTAGTATCTGTCTGTGGGTCTGCTTTGCTTACAGTACAGGGTACATACTGCATAGATTAGGATACAACTTATAAACCTTCAAAATATGGATTAAAAATGTATTTTTAAAATGTATTTGATCTAATAAAATGTATACTGTTTAAAAAAAGTATAAAAATAGCACCTGAATTTTTTTTATCCTGTTCTACTGTCCCTCCAATGTGTTAAATGAATGCAGACTTCCACATTCATTTTAATATTCCCTCTCAAATTTAACAATGGGAGGGTTGGTCATGTACCTCTTTATTATTTACATTCAGTGCATGATGAGGACAGCAGGTAACGGCAGTTTAAAAAAAAAATACAGCTGAGCTCTACAGGATACTTCCATTTCTCTCAGGCTAGAGGGACATTTTTAGCTCAAACATTGACGTGAATGTAATTCAATCACTCGGCCCTCGCAGTGAACATAAGGAACTTAATTTGATATAGCTAAGAAAAATAAAGATAAAAACACAGAGGCATGACATGATCCTAACATTTTGCTTACATACACTATTTGGATAAAAGGTCAACAATGTCAGAGACTTTCCCTGACAAATGATTTGTATAGAAAATGCCCTCGAGCTTTATCAGTTACAGCACTGATCCACGGGACAGATGAATGTTTCCAGTGGTAAAGATTTGTTCAGTGCATGGACTATGGTGCGGCAGAGGTGAGAGCAGGCTCAAATAAGACACATTGACAGCACATAGCAAATAATAAGTCTTCGGCACTCTACAAATGCCCCTCAACAAAGGGACTTGCATTAACAAAAAGATACTCAAGCGCAACCTTTTAAATGTCTCAGGCATTTTAAATAGCTAAATATATACAGTATTCCATATTTATATACAATTTGTAAATATTGGAGTGGAGTCATCCATAGTGAACTTGTTGCTTTTTGGATCATCTTACTGTATATTGAATCAGAATATATCAGGTCAAATATAAAACATGGGCAGAAAAAAAAAATGAGTGTGAATTCAAGTGGACGTTTCTGGGGAAGATGTGGACGTGTTGTGAGGTCTTTGAGCACTCCGATTGGGATTCACCCTGAGACGGAGCGCTGTAGGACAAAGGCTGCTAGCGTCTCTCCACATGTGCATGTAGTTTTCAGTCTAATTGAAAGAAAATATCATCAGGTTTCCGTGGCACGGTAAGTGTCAGCCTTACAAATCTTGGGTCTTGTTTAAGATTGGATTCGAGTTCAGTGAACTGTAGAAGAGCTAATAATGTGAATCTTTGTTCAGAAGTAATGACCTATTCAGTGGGGGACTTTTTGTCTCCATTGACTTGTAGAAGCACCGCCTCTTCAGATTTACCGCTTTTCATCTCCATCACAATATCATCCTTACTGGCCTTTTCCTTTGTGCTGGAGAATGAAAACAACACATGATATTAATGCTTTGTTTCATGATGATGTATTGAAAAATACTTATTCATGCACATCTATTCAGACACATATTTAGTGTGAACTGAATGGATTCTAGAACTACTTTTACATTATTCTGCTCAAATTTTAAGGTACAGTGTTATTTTATTATTATTTATATGCTATTTTAGTATTTATTCATGTTGAATTTGCTTTTATTTTTTAAATGTTCATGTTTTATTTTAAGGTTTTAGTCATTTTGTTGTCTTTAATCTAATAAAATTGACAAAAACATTTCTATTTAGCTTTAATGTATTTTAGTTTTAGTGATTTTAGTTTGTTTTAATAAAAAAACTAATAATAATAAAACTAATAATTAACTAAAAAAACTAATAATAATAAAACTAATAATTAACTAAAAAAACTAATAATTTAGCTATTAAGCTTTAATGTATTTTAATCTTACTTCCAGTAATTTTAACTTTACTCATTAAAAAAAACTAATAAAAATGACCAAAACATTCTAATTTATTTTAGTTTTAGTAATTTTAGAACAACTTCAAAATGGGAAATGTGAAAACAAGTTTGCTTTTTTAAGTTTTTCATCTAATATTTTATTTTAGCTTAACAAAAAAATTACCTGTAATGGTTTAATAGTTTTACTAACAATAACAACACTGATTTAAAGGTGCAGTGTGTAATTTTTACAGCGCCAAATATCAAATGAACCTACAAATTGCATATTTCTTATAACCTGCCTTTGCAAATATTCTTATTAATTGCTTTTCCTAATGTTTTCTATAAATGAATATGGGACAGAAGTAATCATGGGGTGAACTATTCATTTAATGTTAATTAAGCCTATGTTAATTATACTTATTTTATTATATTCAAATCATATGTATTTTTTCATAAACAAAAACATACAAATCCTGCTTTCCCGACCGTCCACAGGGCAGCTTTCCTTTCTTGTAGAGGAAGTAGAGCACGCTGCCCAGTATGGCTATGAGGAGGAGGCAGATGATGATGACTGCTATGATGACTCCGCTGCCACCTCCTGCAGTAAGAGCAGAAAAGCAGGCTGAAGTTAGTACACTGACAGATGAAGGAAAAGCTCACACCTAAAGTAAAGCCTGAAGGACATACTTCAGGTGAATGTTTCCTATATGTCTGACTGAAATATACAAAGCCTTTTCTATAACAATTCATTTCCAAAAGGGCTGTCAGTAAAGTGCATTCTGAGTGCCGAGTGAAGAAAAGCAGTGATGATGCGTGACTCGTTGTAGGGGCAATGATATAGAAAGCAAAGTATTCTGGAATCATTCATTCCAGAAAGATGGTCACAGTTCAGTTAAAGTGAAGATTAGCATAAGAAATGATGGTTTTTACACAGCCTGAGTAAGGGCTGGCGGTGATGGTGGAGGATGAGTGGTCAGGCTGCTGTTGGTCTCACAATACAAACCTGTACGCGGTTGTTTTGGTGGAATGATTAATCCTGTTCCTGTGATGACAAGGGTTTGAGTTACCAAACAGCAGTTATATTCACTTCAGTTATATATATATATCACTTTATCTCACATAGTGCTTTTCTTTAGTTAATCATGGGAACTGCTGTCCCAGAATCTGTGAGGAAGTTATTGGCATAACTTAGACATTTTAGCGTCTTGTCTACGCTTTTTGTAAGAGCAGGGGGGTTAAACTGTGGTGTAGGGATCTTAAGGGAGTGCTATAGAAAAATTTAAAGAAATAATCAATAATTGTAGGGCACTATTGTTTCTTTTTTTTTAATGAATGGAATATATATACATACATACATACATATATATACATACAGTACATACATACATATACATACAGTACATACATACATATATATACATACATTACATATATATACATACATATATATATATATATACACATACATACATACATACATATATATATATATATATATTACAATTTGTTAATACTATTATTATTTCATATTTAGTATTATTCAATTTTTTAATGAATTTTATATATACCAAAATATAAATGAAAATATATAAATAAAAATAATATAATTTTCCAAATAAGTTACTTTAATTTCTTCAGGCTTTAGTACAATTACAAATACAAGTCAATTATTCTATAATTTGGGGTAGAAAAAAATAGTATCATATTTATTTATTAATTTAGAAATAAAAATAATTATAACTATAATAATATAAATAATATTTATATTAATTATAATATGAAATAATATATTATTGTAATTAAAAATAGTAATAATATTTTAAAATAGTTAATGTTTGTATCAAGTCAATTATTTAATTAAAATGAAAACATAATGCTACTATATTTTGACAGACACATTACTTGCTATTAACTTGTTGCGTTGTGTCTGGTTAGAACATGATGCTGTAAGAAACCGATGACACTGAGACGAGCTAAATTTGTTATAACTCTGTTTATTTTCCTGACTACAGCCATAAACAGTATCAGAAATAAGGGCTCTGAGGACCGCCATAATAAGGAATGGAAAGGTCTGCTGATATCCCAAAGTAAGAGTGGCTGCTTTGCCTCATTTGCCCTGATGCCAAGCGCTCTGGTCGCATGAGGTCACAGGCAGTCAGCCAGGCCTGATGTGAAGCCTGCCTTTGAACTAATGAGAGTCCAGAGACCACATGAGAGCATTTTCACCATCAACCGCTGCCTTCTCTTACAGTAAAACTGCTTTGTGTTTAAACACACACTGCTTTTGACTGCACCTCCAGAATAAATATACAATGCCACGTCAGCACTCTCAAGATGACTGTTTCTATGGCACGGACCCTAACGCAAAGAAAATATATTTCCTTATATATGAATGATCAATATATGAAATTATTTAACGGTATATTGAAAATATACAGAATAATATATTGTGTTAATATATTACAATATATTGAATAATACATACGGAATTGCAGCTTTCATATAAGGAAAAATATGTGACAATATATTTAATCATATATCATAATATATGTAATTTTATATTCAGTAATAGACTTCATAACATATAGATGTACATGTGATAAGACATGGTACTGCATGTGTAAAAATATATTGCACATATATTTACTCATGCAGTATATACAC